CATTGTATAAAATTATTGTCATGTGGCAGGTTTAGGCTCAGTGATACATTGTGGTTGTCTAACAAGAGAGTTCCTTATTCCCAGGAGCTGTGCTCCTGAGATCAAGGTCAAGGCTGATAAGACTAACACAGAGCCTCATCATGAAGAACATTGCTACAGCAGCCAGGCATCCTGTGTCTCTGCACGAAAGTTTTCCCAGCAGCCAGGCATGCTGTGTCTTTGCACAGAAATTTCCTAGCCACCAAGCATGCCACAGTCATGAAGTTATCAGAGACCTCAATTCCAAACACAGAACCCCTACATCTGTTAGACAATGCCATAAATTCATTAGAAGTTCTTAAGGAAAGAGAATAAATTCTCTTTCTTCTAGAAATAAAAAATAAATGTTAAGGAAAAGTGGAAATATGTGTATAATAGGCACAACTTTGGTTCTATGTAAAGAGTAAGTTGTTTGTTAAAATAAAAATAAAAATTATATTTGAAGTTCTTATAAAAATGTTCATAAATTTAATTTTGAGATAATAATTATATTTTTTAATTAAATTTACCTTGAGGTACTTGAAATTATTGCGAAATATGGAATTTTAATCTGTTCATTTTTAAGCTTTTTTTTTTTTAAGCAGATTTGGGAAAAAGGGAAAACTAACTTTGAAGTGTGACATGAAGTACTGCCATGGGCCATTGGGATTCAATTATGCCCCCTCCTCCTGGGAGTAGATACAGTTTCCCAAGATGAGGCCCAGAGTGACAGGAAGATGTGGTGTTCTTACAGTCTCTCTCCTACTGGGCAGGGCTAACCACAAGGCAAGAACTCCTTGGTCTGACTCAGATATATGCAAAGTGGGCACCTAGAGTGTGGAGAGGTTTTCAGAGTGAAAGTGAAAAGCTCTTGTTGCAGATTTGAAATGAACTATCACCAATGCAATTTTGGGATTGGTTTTTGAAGGAGTAACATATGCACAACATATCTGCTGAAATGTAAGGTAGTCTGAGAGAACATGACATGGGGAGCAGGAAAGTTTGGTATAGTCATCCATAAATACTTGAGCATGTATTCTCTGCCTTACTGGAGCTAAGTGTCAATTGAAGAAAGGGAAATAAAGAAGAATAAGTATCAAATTATCCCATAATCACTACAAGCAGAACAGGCTCATAAGAAACAGACTTTTTTTTTTTTTTCTGCAAGAAGACAGAGGTACTATATGGAAGAATAAGTTAGGTGGAGTTTCAAAGATGTATTTACTGAAGAAATAACTTTAAGTCCCTTTAGCAAGAGGGGTACATTCTCCTAAGAGATTCTGGTGCAGTTTTCACTCATTATCACTACTCATAATAGATAAGACAATAGCTTAGAGAAATCACTTAACTCAGTATTAAGTGAAAGAAATAGTTTGACAATAAGTTCCTCATGGGCTCAGATTCACAGGCTCCACATCTGGAAAATTTTCTCAGGCAAGGAAGCGCACCCTTCTCCCTTGCTCAGTTCTATATATGACATAATTTCAGAGCTCCCAGGGGATAGCCCTATAGCACTATGTCTCATTCAACTACATTCCTTCAAGTGAGAGTTCGGACAAACTATAGTTTAGACCAGTAAGTGTCTATTAATAAACATATGTAAACAAAATAGGCAGCATTACCTAGAATAAAACCAAAGCAATTTAACTCTCCCCAGCTCTCAAAGAAAGACACATAAAATATTTCTTCTGGGTATTGCAATGCAGATTATTATACTAACAATATTGTGCTCTCTTTTTTATTTTTAGAAATTCCATTGTAGTTTATCTTACATATCATATCATGTCCTGAATATTGATATAGCAAATAATTTTTAAATGCCAGTATAGGTGAAATTATGCTCTACACTGGGTATGGAGAATTGTGGTGCTCTTGATTGGGTTGAGTTCCAATTAACATTCTACTACAAGATTTGCTATATTTATTCATCAGGTGTCAAACACCTTTTCAAACATACTGATTATTTTTTAAGACTTTTATGACATGAGTGAAAATCCAGAAAACATGAGTACTCAAGAGCTCCTTGTTTGTTGGGAAGGGAATATTCAAAAGTTATCATATCTGCACTAAGATTTGCTTCAGAAAGAGCTCAAGACTACTAATTCGAACTCTTCATATTCAATAGTTCAGAATGTCATCATTATCTTACAAATCCTGGAAGAATTCTTCAAAATAAAGCTTAACAAAGTGAAGGCTAAAAAGGCATATATAGTTATTTGAGATTAGTGAGAGTTTAATGCCTATGCCATGAGATACACACTTTCTTCTTAATATAAGAAACAAATAAGAGAATTATAAGTGCTTATTGGATGGCAGAGAGTGTTCATATTCCTGGAGGTCTGGCAATGAAATGTGGAGAAGGTGCCCTCATGGAGATTATATCCCTGTACCACTGGACAACAAGCAGGCAAGTACAAACTAGAACAAAAGGCAGAGCAGCAGCTATGTTAGAAAACATAAACATGGCATGTTCATACATTTGTAATCCAGACTTTAAAGTTGTGATTAGGGTGTCTCAGTAACAGAAGAAATAAGATAGATGACAAATGAGGTATATTATGGTTAGGTCAGGCTAAAATTATGCAAAATTAAAGATTACATCTACCATAGAGCTATGATTTTTGTTATTTTTTGAATGGCCAGAATAAAGTACACTGTAATCACTGTTGTAAAATAGTATTTTCTCTTCTTTTTTTCCTCACAATTTGCATTACAGTTGTATATAATGATGTGATTTTTTTTTGTTAAATATCCATTCACACACACAATATAACACTATGATTTGTCCAACATCACTCCCAACACAAACCCCCTCCCTCCTTCCCTTTCCTCTATTGATTTCTCTTTGATTTTCATTAGGCCTCTGCTCCCTGTCTTTCTTTTCCTTTTTCCACTCTAGTTTCCACATATGAAAGAAAATTTGAGTCTTGAGCTTCTGAACTTGACTTATTTTACTTAATGTGATGGGCTCTAGTTCCATCTATTTTCCAACCAATCATTTAATTTTATTTTTCTTTATGACTGAATAAAACACCACTGTGTGTACATATTTTCTTTATTCATTCATCCACTGATGGACATCTAGACTGGTTCCATAGTCTGGCTATTGTGAATTGTGCTGCTATAAAAGTAGATATGCATGTATCTCTGTAGTACAATGACTTTAATTATTTTATTTATAAATATTGAGGAATGGTATAGCTGGGTCATATGGTAGTTCCATGCCTAGTCTTTGAGAAACCTCCATTCTGATTTTCATAGTACTAACTTATAATCCTACCAACAGTGTTCCTTTTTCTGCACATCCTCTCCATCATTTATTGTTATTTGTATTCTTGATGATTGCTATTCTGACTAATGTGAAATGAAATCTCAGTGTAATTTTGATTTGTGTTTCCCTAATTGCTAATAATGTTGAACAGTTTTTCATATATTTGTAGACATTTGTATTCTTTTAAAAAATGTTTTTAATTCATTACTCTATTTGTTGGGTTATTTGATTTTTTTGATGTACAATTTTTTGATTTTTGTATATTTTAGATATTAATCCTCTGTCCTAAGAGTAGCTAGGAAAGATTTTTCTTCTATAGATTCTCTTTTCACAGTCTTAATTGTTTCTTTTGCTGTGCAGAAGCTTTTTAATTTGATGCCATCCCATTTATTAACAATTAGCATTATTTATTGAGCTTTAGGGGTCCTATTGAGAACGTCATTGCCTGGGACTAAAAACTGGAGTGTGGAGCCTACATTGTCTTTTAGGAGTTACATAGTTCTTCTGTTCTAATTTCTAGGTTGTTGACCCATTTTAATTTGATTTTTGTGCAGGGTGAGAAACAAAGGTCTACTTTCATTCTTCTGCATATGGATAGCCAGTTTTTCTAGCATCATTTGTTAAAAAGGCTATATTTTCTCCAGTGTTTCTTTTTAGCACCTTTGTCAAGGGCCAGATGACTATAGATGTGTGGGTTTGTCTCTGTGTCTTCTATTCTGTACTGTTATGGTTTGGATGTGAAATGTCCCCCCAAAAGCTCATGTGTGAGGCAATGCAAGAAGGTTCAAAGGAGGAAAGATTGTATTATGAAGGCCTTAACCCAATTAGTGAATTAATCACCTGATGGGATTAATGGAAGAAAGAGACAATAACAAAATATGTAGTTGTTGCTACCATAAGAGAATATGTGGGAGCTGAGCAACTGATGGATGCCAAGAGAGATTCACAAATGACAATGATTGCCTCAGGAGACTAACTCAAGTTTTCTGGCTGCTGTTTACAAGAGTACTAATGAAAGCTTAAATGAGGAAGGGGGAGAGAAGCAAATTTATTGCTTGAAAGGGTCTTTCCCTGTCCCCTCAAAAGAATCATTTTTCCCCCCAGAGTTAATATTGATCTTGAAGTAGGAGGGGTATTTATTATTAGTCAGAATATAATTTTCTTATTTTAATTTTTCCATTTAAATCAATAATTCATATGAGTACACTAGTAAAAGAATGTCATTTTTAAACCTGAGATTCCATAAAGAAGGTTGAAAAAAATTGTTTTTTGGGGTTAGAGAAATGAGTATAAAATATAGGTAGTAGCATCACCCATAAACTGGGGAGCAAGGAATATTGCAAAGATTTATGTCAAAATATGCATGATATTATTAGTATTATTAGTCATATTTATTATTGTCAATCTTTCCCAGTAGAATGATATCTCCTTGTGGGTTGGAAGAAATTTATCTCTCATAACATGCCTATTTTCTAGTAGAGTTCTACAAGCTTACTAAGAATTTGCATAATATTTTATATATTATAAATTATTGAAAGTATTTAATTTAGAGATGACACTTTCAGAAATGTTAGCCTAAATGGTTAGTTTAAAATGACATATATGCAATGTAATGAGAATATCAAGGATATTGACCAAATATATTTATTCTCCAGACAAATATAAATAATTTATACCTAAAATGAGCTATGTTTCATACAAAAAAGGCATTATCAACCCTAGTCAGTACTTTGAAGCTTTATAAATGTGTTCAGATGTGATACAGGTTACTCTGCATAGATGGATAATGGGGCATCCTGAACAGGTGCTATCCTCCATGAGTCTGATCCCATAAGTCCAGTCTTACATTTGACACCTTTCTTTCAAGAAATCAAGTAGGAATAGTAATCTCATGACTTGTAGATATACGTTGCTATATCTGGACTGCTTCCAGGAATATAAACCTCCAGGAATTGTAACTTTTTGCTAAAGTAAAATACTCTTTTTCATGGGATACTTCTTTTTTCAAGTAACTTATTTAGGGCAAGTTTCACATCTTTATTCCTCAAGCTATAGATTACAGGGTTCAGCATGGGCACAATAATAGTATAAAACACAGAAGACACTTTTCCTTGGTCCATTGAGCTAACTGATGATGGCTGCAGGTACATAAATGCAGCAGATCCAAAGAAGAGAGCAACAGCTGAGACATGGGAGCTGCAGGTACTGAAGGCTTTGGCTCTTCCTTCAGTGGAGTGAATGTGCAGGATGCTGGCTATGATGAAGATGTAAGAGCTGAGGATGGTCAGGATTGGGACAAGGATATTAAATGCACTGAAACACAGAACTACTACCTCATTGACAAAAGTACTGGAGCAAGATAGCTCTAATAGTGGGAAAAGATCACAGAAGTAATGGTTTATTTTATCAACCTTACAGAATAGTATTCTTAGCATGCAGACTGTGTGAACTGTGGCACCAATCAATCCCATGCTATACACTCCAACTATCAACCAGAAACAGACTTGAGAAGACATGGTTACATTGTAAAGCAAAGGATTACAGATGGCAACATAGTGGTCATATGCCATTGCAGCCAACATGTGGCATTCTGATATAACAAAAACTAGGAAGAAATAGAGCTGAGTCATGCATTCAGGGTAGGAAATGACGTTTTTCTGCACCACAAAGTTTACCAGCATTTTGGGGGTAATGACAGTGGATTGGCAGAGGTCAATGAAAGACAGACTGCTGAGGAAATAGTACATAGGTGTATGCAGGTGAGAGCTGAGCCCAATCAGCATGACCATGCCCAGGTTCCCTACCACAGTGAACATGTAGATTCCTATGAAGAAGAGAAAGAGGGGCAGCTGGAGCTCTGGTTTGTTTGTTAATCCAGCCAGGATAAATTGTGTCACTGTGGTGGAATGGTTTCCTTGTGTCATTTTCTTCTTGGAATTCTATGGAGGAAGTGAAACAAATTTAATATATGTATTTATCATCTCATCCCACACTCAAGTGTGAACCATAATTCAAACCTTTTCATCCAGTTGTGGCCATTTTTTTTTCTTTTTTTTGCCAACTGCTCAACTGTGTTTGTCGTTAAAAACCTTGAGATCCCCAAAACATGAGACATGTTAACAAATATCAGAATTTTCCTCATTTGCATTCTCTGATAAAATAGTGGTGATTAGTCCCTGATAATCTTAATAACTGTCCTGGGAACTTTGTTCCAGTAACTCTTCAGGCATTAATTCTAGTGAACATGTAGATTCCTATGAAGAAGAGGAAGAGGCAAATGTTTTTGTGAAAATAAAAAAAGCATCTATAAAAATCCATGGTTAATATGACACTGAAAAGGGAAAGACTGAAAGACTTTGCCCCAGAGGTAATGAACATGTCAAGATGCCCACACCCTGCACTTTTATTCAACATTATACTAGAAGCTCTAGCTAGTAAAATCAGGCAAGAAAATAAAAGTAAAGGACATTCAGATTTGAAAGTAGGAAGTAAAACTATTCCTACTTATAAAATGTTGTAATCTTGTCCATAGAAAAATCCCAGGGAACCAATAGAAAGGAACTATTAGATGAAAATTTAAAAGTTCACCAACATGGCAGAATACAAGGTCTACAGAAAAATTCTTATGTATATCCGTATGTTTGCAGTGAACAATAAAATAATACACTTGAAATGGCATGAAAAAAATAAAATTTTTGACAATAAATTAAAGGAAACACAAGACATTAAACTTATATTTACAAAACATCGATAAACAGAATGAAAGAGCTACATAAATGGAAAAACATACCATATTAGTGAATCAAAAATATTCAATTTTGTCAAAATAGCAGTACTTCCCAAATTGATCTATAAGTTTAGTGCAATCCCTATCAAAATCTCAACTTTATTATGATGAACATTTACACACTGGTCATAAAATTCCAAGGATAATGCAAGTGACACAGAATAATCCAAATAAACTTGAAAGAGGAGAAGAACAAACTTGGAGACATCCCATTTCTCACTTGAGAACTTACTACAATATAACTGTGATGAAGTTAGTGTGGCATTGTCATAAGTACAGATATATAGAGAAATGAAGCAGAATTGACAATACAGATACAAACTCACATCTATGAAGAATTAAATAGTCATAAGGATTCATGACAATCAAATATGAATCCAGGTTATACATTAGCTTTGGAGGCCTCTAAGGGAACTAGCTCTCAATGATTTTGGTGATGGCCATTCAACATAAAGACTCTGGGGCTGTCTTTTCCTTAGGGAATTAAAATGTGAATTTCAATATATGACGAGCTCACTTACATATAGGTAAAATATTTTTTTTTCAACAAATGTCACTAGCCCAATTTGATGGGTACATGTAAAATAATTAACTTGGGTGCTTTTTTCACACAATTAACAAAAAAATAATTCAAAATGTGTCATAGAACTAAATGTAAGAGCTAACATTATTACAATATTAGAAAAAAAGCATAAGGCTACATCTTTATAACTTTAAATTTAATGATAGTCCTTAGATAAGATCCTAATATTAAAACAAATTCGACAGGGATAAACCAAACGTTTGCTGTGGGCATTCAGCATGTGGACACAAATGTATAGAATTCCTGATTTTCAGAATGACACCATCTTGAGGGGGACAGAAAGGGCTGACTAACTACTGTGCTTAATATGACTGTGTGGGTCCTGTTGGAACACGGTTATTATGGTGTTAGCTCAGAATGGGGTCAGTGAAGGCTTTTTAAGCGAACCTGAATGTAGAAATATAAGTAGAAATGAGGGAGCTCTGAGCAACATTCAAAGTAGGGAAGCAATGACCTCACAGTTCCTCATATCAAAATCCCTGGATCCAGAGAAAAAACACCTATAAATACCAGTAATTTCTTTATAAGGAAGAGAGTATCCAAAATGATACCCGAGAGAAACTGTATCTGGTGAATTGTGATTAATTCTGGAAGGGTATTATATGGTGGTGGTTTATAGATTGCAAGTATTCAGGAATATTGAATATTTAGATTAAAATAATTCAAACCAAGTATCTACATGACAGTAACAACAAAAAGGATTTATTGTATGACGCCTCAAATGGAAGCTCTATAGCCATAGAGATATGTTTCATCTTTATATATCTAACCATTAAACGTACCTGGAAGCTGTATGAGTTGAATTATGAAAAAGATAATTTTCTGCCTTCATATTTTTTGCAGAAAGGATGAACAATCATTTTCAGGTAGATGCAGGAAATCACTGTTATATTGTAAGGGGGCTCAACTTCATGAAAGTCCTCTTCTGAGAGTAAAAGGATATAGAATAATTGGAATTCAGATACTCAGTCTTTCTCTATTTGGAAACAGGAATCCAGGTTATACATTAGCTTTAGACCAAATGCTCTGAGGGAACTAACTCTTAATGATTTTGGTGGTGGCAGTTCAATATAGAGACTCCTCGGCTCTGTTTCCCTTAGGGAATTAAAGTGCAGATTTCAATATACAAGGAGCTCACTTACATATTATAAATTAAATGCCACAATTCCTCCTTGTAGCTTCCTCAAAGTACTACCCAAGATACTCACCAGAATGATTTCAATTTTTGTCTAGAGTTCTGATCCATAATATATGTTATAAAAATATAGAGGTGGAAGTTCTCTCAGGATTTCCTCTCATCAGGGATGAGCTGTTGGGATGTAAGAGCAGTTAAATCTTGTTTTTTTTTTTTTTTCATCTTTCATATGAAACTGTCAATAGCTCCCTTGTGTATAATAATCTCTCTGCTGAAAAAGTAGTAATTATTAGATAAAGGACTAGAAATTAAAGCCTCATGGATACAGTTCTAGCAGGTCTTCATGATAACAACTTCCTATCTGAAAATGATAACTAAAATGTTTAAAACCATGATTTCAATCCTTGTTGTTTCCTGAAGGCTTGGAGCAATAGTTAGTTATTTGTAATTATTAGTGAAAGTTGCTCTGTAGAGGTCTCTGTAGTTTTCAAGACACTTATGGCATCATCTCAGTGAAGGACTTGGAGGTGAAAGGTGTTGACCTAAGGAACTTAGGAAATAAGTACAGATGCAGGATTAGAGACAAAATGAATTGCATAATTTATTACAGTTGATAAAGATATTTCTCATAAAGGTACAGGTTAACAGGAAAGAACAAATATTGTTCAGTAAATAGTGGCAAGCAGATTTCATAAAGTGGAAGTTAGATGATTGATGGGGTTTTCTAGTGAAGTATATGGTGCTGCATAAGAATAGGAAATGTCACTATGAATTGATGCTTAGATCAATGCAGACACATATAAACTGGAGAGATGTAATTTGAAATGTTCATGAAGACAGATTTGCATATACACATTCATCTCCCACTTCATTCAGCTGAGGGAACCAGGGAACCAGAAACAATAACTCCCAGGTAGTAATGAGCACACCCGGCTTCCACAGATGTCCTGGGTTTCTAATAAAGTTCTTCAATAAATATAACCAGAGTTCCTTGAAGAAATGGCTAATGCTAAGTGTAGGCATGGGAGATAGAAAATGTTTGGAAAATTTTGAAGTGACAGAAAGCAAAAAAAAAAAGTATTAAAATGGTGGGAATGTGTCAAGTGTGCACAGGAATCAAATAAAAGATTTGATTTTATTTGATTGGATAAAATGTGGCTTTTTGTATCTGATTTCTTAACGATGGCAAAAGCTGGAAGCAGTTGAGCCATAAAATCAGTATATTTGTTCTGGTTCTCAGAACATTCATCTTACCTCAACTGGATTAATTTTGCCTGAAAAGCATAGATAGTTCTTCAATTTTTTTATGCCTGATACTTTTTATAAACTCTCCATAATTTTCATCTTTTTAGCTGCCCAAACCAATGATTGCTACCTGACAGCCAGTGCAGGAGATTATCAATCATAAGATCTGGGTTCAAATCTTGACCATGTGATTATTGATGTATGAGAGTGTGCAAATTGTGCGAATTGTTTGGGGATCATCAATGTTCTTTATCTATAAGTTTAAAAGATAATATATCTCATGGATTTTTTTTTTTTTTTTGGATTTCAAATGAAATACTGTGTGAACGAGGCATTTTTTTAAAATGTCAATCTTTCTGCAATGTGAAAAACTGCCACTGCTTCATCTTTAAAAAAAGTATCAAAAAGTTTGGGATGATGTCTTGAAGAGACCTAGACTGTTGGTATTTTTAATGATAGTCCTATTGACATATAATTCATACAGAAAATTCATGCTTTTAAAGTGTAGAAATTAAATAATTTCCGTATATATTCGGAGTACTACAGTATTGACGTAGCACAATTTTAGAACATTTTTATCATTTCAAAATGATTCCTTGTGCCCATTTACAGTTGTTCCGTTTCTGTCCTTCCTTTAGGAATTCACTAATATCTTATGTCTTTATGGACTTGTCTTTTCAGGATAGTTCATAGAAATGGATAAAATGTGGCTTTTTGTATCTGATTTCTTTCTATTAGCATAACATTTTAAACATTCACCCATTTTATAGCATCTATCAGTTCTTCATTCCCTCTTTTAGGAGGAAATGATATTCCATTTATGGATATACTGCATTTGTTCATTATTTATTAAATTGTGGACATATCAGTTTATTTCATCTTTGGCTATTAATAATGTTGCCATAAAATTAGTGTGTAAATATTTTTGTGTACAAATAGAATATGTCCTTGATTCTTTGGGGTATATACTCAGGGTTAAGGTGATAGATCTAAACTTCTGACACTTCAACTCTGATACATACACACAAACACACACACGCGCACACACACACACACAATGGTGTATTACTCAGCCATAAAGAAGAATGAATTATGGCATTTGCTGGTAAATGGACCAAACTGGAGACTCTCTCATGCTAAACGAAACACACCAGACTCAGAAAATCAAAGGTTGAATGTTTTCTCTGATATGTGGAAGCTAGTCTGAAATAGAGAGAGAGTGAGAGAGAAAGGGAAAAGTAGGAAGAAATTCCATTAAATAGAAAGAAAGATTGATGGGCTATATGAAAGGCTAGATGAAAAGAGATGCATAAGGGAAAAGTAATAGAATGAATCTGACTTAATTTTCCTCTGTACACATATGAATATACCACAGTGAACCTCACCATCATGTATAGCCACCAGACACTAAACAACAAAACAACAACAACCGAAACTAAAATTAGATAGCAGAAAGATCAGTGGAGTAGAGGGAAAGCAAACAAGGGATGGGGGAGGGGTGGAAAGGGGGTAGTACTAGGAACTGACTTAGAGCAAATTATATTCCATTCTTTTATAATTATGTCAAAATGAATCCTAATGTTATATATAACTAAAAAGAACCAATAAAAAAGAAACCTAGATTTTCTTATATGTTATGTTATCTCAAACATAAAGCTAGATATAAACCTTAGCGTTCAACCTTTCTATAGTAAGAAAACAAAAGAAGAACTAATATCAAAACCAAGTATAGAACCAATCAAATTCTAGTTAGCAGAATCAACTTGATCTAATAGGTTATATTGATTTTTTGAAACCAACTACTTGGTACTGAATTTAACAATAAAATATTTATATTTGAGAGTCTTTTGTTTTACTGATAAACTTGATTCTATAGCTCAAGGTATATTTAACCATCATTTAAGCCCTCCTTCTTATGCTTGTTATAATCTCACTTTAAAAAGAATGACTTTTTAAATGTAAAAATGTATCATTTTTACAGGCTGAATAATCAAATTTTAAAGAGAATGCATTTAAAATTTTAAGAAAAGTCTTCGACCCAAGAATGGTGTTTACATTGGTAATCTCTGAGGTTCCTTTTAGTTCAAAGTTTCTGTTTAATAATCAAGAATCAAAAATTTGCGAGGCCCTGGGTTTGATCCTCAGCACCGCATAAAAATAAATAAATAAAATAAAGATGTAAAAAAACTTAAAAAATCAAAAATTTATAAACAGTGATGATGTGTTTATGCTGTTTTTTGTTGTAGGCATAGTCTAGATATTTCTCTTCATTTCTGTTCACCATTGGCTTCCAAGTGGTTAGGCATAGCTCTGAACATAAGGAAACTGTAGAAATCCAAGGGCTGCCTACATGAAGATGTCACTTACAAGGAGATATTGAACTCAGCAGTATTTACAGTTAGACTGTTTTCAGCTAGTTTCAGCTGTGCTCAGGCTCTTGTGCTGACCACTGTGGAGAAAATGAAGATGGAATGAATGGCAGAAGATATATGGAGGCACACACCTTATTTGAAAGCACACAAGAACAACAGAAGATGTAAATCCTGAATAGATACTAATCCATTCCTTGGATAGCACAGTACTTCACTGTGGTCTCTCTTGCCACTTGTTCTATGATATTTTCTGTATGTTGTTTGACTATCCTGTGCCCGGTTGTTTCATCACAAAGAAAATACTTCCCTTACATGACATTTAAGGTTTCATTGGTTTTTATATACTTACATCTAAAAGGATATAAGCATTTACTGCTCTGTTTAGATATAGCCAATTCTTTTATCATGGCCCCAATGGATTTTTTAAATATTTTATTTAAAGCAGTAAATTCTATTCTACTTGTTATAAATTCCATTTGTTATAAATTATTGTTATTTCTATTGATTTTGTTGTATGTGTATTTATGTGCAAGTGTGCATTTTTATTTGTACTTAAAGTAAATATCCGTTAGTGCCCTGAAAGTAGCTATAAATGTAAATTAAATCTAACTTTGTGATTTTATAATGGGGGAAGGGTTGATATGGGATATAATATGTCTTATCATGTGTTGATAGAATCAGCAAGTATCTGGTTAAATTTCAAACATGAGGATCATTCTGGTTGATAAATTGAGCCTATTCATTCCTTCATGAAATTTGCTCTGAGTCTAAATTTGCTTACTCTGTATGTGCTGCTCAGTTTAAGTGCCTGATTTAAATATGCTTTTCACCATGTCCTGGGCAAAGCTATTTCTGACCACTGAAATATGATTGACAAATTTGATTGTTGTTTCTTGGAGGGGAAAGGAGTCTATATTCAGGATATGTAGCCATGTGGAGCCTCAACATGAATAACTTTCACTGTTCTGTTATTTCCAGTCAAAGGTATCTAAATACAGTGTGAGTGGCAAGTGTCACTTTTATTGCTAACTCTCTTTAGAGGGGCAGTGTTAGAAGAAGGTGTTTAATGCAGTGGTTTAGGAAGCATCAGCTTCATCATGAACAAAATGAAGAAACTGATGTGGATAAAACTGTCCACGAGCATGTGTGTGTAAAAGAAGCTGTATGATCACATCTGTGTGTGTCTCTTTCATAATCAACTTTTCTTGGGAATTACAATTACAGAGAGACTCCAAGACATAAACACTTTAACAAGCTCCCTTGCATTACCTAAATAAATCCCAGTCTTATTAATCCACTTTGCCTCATAACGCAGCTCACAGATGGGGACCAAATACTAGAGGGAAATAATCAATGTCATAGTGTGCATGAGAAGCATCTCATAGGAATGATTCCTTTGAGATTAATTAATATAAAAATTACTCTTCGTGGTGATTTCCTTTGAGAGATCTTATAGCTTGGTGTGAGTGGCAAGAGAAGATTTTGTAAATGTGTTTCTTGTTAGGAGCTTTCCAATAATTTAAGGAGCAAGGGTTATTTTCTCAATTTTAGCAAATGATGTTAATGGGAAAGCATACCCTGGTATCAAGGGTACACATCATCTATTGTGAGAGACATGAGGGCAGAAGAGGGTTTGGGAGTGGGACAAACTCAGGGCTGAATGCTAGCAAGACCACATAGGTGACACTGAGAATACTGCCTAAGCTCTCAGTCTCACTTTTTTGAAACCACAATGAGTGATAATAACAAATTATTTCTATGAGAATTAAATGAGGTGAGAACGTAAAAGACCAGGCAAAGCACTCAACTCATATTGAAAGCTCTATAAATCTTGGCTGATCACCACCATTTCCTGGTGGTAGCTTTACTTCATTCTGTGCAAACTACAGTTACACTTTTAATAAGGCTCTTACTTGCTTGTCTACTATAAATCCCATTCAATCCAATGTACCTTTTCCTCTTGTGTTTTTGCTTCTGTCAAATTACGTTTACAAATTCTTAATTTTTTGTAGCAGTTACTAGCAGGAGCATTGATATTTCTGATGTTTCCTGAGAATTTGGGCAAATTAGGAGCTGGGTCATTTCATGACTTCTTTTTTTTTTCTGGCTTTGCATTGTCTTATATTTTTTAAAATTAACTAATTAATTAATTTTACAGTAGAATGCATTTTAACATATTGTACACAAATGGAGCACACCTTCTCATTCCTCAGGCTATATGTGGTTCAGAGTCACTCTAGTAGTGTACTCATACATGTATATAGGGTAATAATGTCTGTCTTTTTCTAATTTCCTTCCCATCCCCACAAGCCCACCCTTCCCCTTACTCCCCTCTACACACAAAAAAATTCCTTCATTCTTCCCTATCCCTTTGCCCCACTATATATTAGCATCTGTTTATCAGAGAAAACATTCAACTTTTGGTTTGGGGGGACAGGCTTATTTCACTTAGCATGGTATTCTCTAGTTCCATCCATTTACCTGCAAATGCCATAATTTTATTTTTCTTTAAAGCTGAGTAATATTTTATTGTGTATGTGTACTGCATTTTCTTTATCCATTCATCTTTCGAAGGGCATATAGATTGGTTCCATAGTTTCACTATTGTGAATTGAACTGCTATAAACATTGATGTGGCTGCTTCACTATACTATGCTGATTTTAAGTCCTTTGGGTATAAAACAAGGAGCGGGATAGCTGGGTTAAATGGTGAATCCATTCCAAGTTTTCTGAGAAATCTCCATACTGCTTTCCAGGTTGGTTGCATTAATTTGTAGTCCCTACAATAATATATGAGTATATCATTTTCCCCACATCCTTGCCAACACTATTGCTTGTATTTTTGATAATTGCCATTCTGACTGGAGTAAGATAAAAATCTTACAGTAGCTTTGGCTGCATTTCTTTAATTGTTACAGATGATGTATTGTCTTATAATTTGTTAGTTGTAACTGAAGCCCTTATACTAGTTGAATTGACATAAACTGTGCAATTCCAATGTTAATTTAAATAATTACCATTTTTAATTTTATATTTATGTTTTAAATTCTTCTTTTTTTAGTTAGACATGAGAGTATAATCTATTTTGATATATTGATACAAGCATGGAATACATCTTATTCTAGTTAGAATCCAAGTCTTATGGATGTACACCATGGTGAGATTCACTGTGGTAAATTCATACATATACATAGGAAAGTTGTGTCAGATTTATTCCACTGTCTTTACTTTTCCTATCTCCTTCCATTCTCTTCATTCCGCTTTGTCTAATCCAATGAACTTCTATCTTCTCTTTCTCCTCCTTATTATGGGTTAGCTTCCAAACATCAGAAAGCACTCAACCTTTGGTTTTTTTGGAATTGGCTTATTTCACTTAGCATGCAATATCTATCATTTTTATGGAACTATGATTTCAAGAATTCAAAATGATTGTGAGAACTATCATGGGAAAAAGATACTTAGCCAAATTTGCTTCAATATCACATAATTATAAATTAATGTACAAAGTATTTTGTATTAAATTAAATTAAAATACTTTGTTATATACAATACTGGATGTGATGGTTAATAGTAAGAGTCAGCATGATTGGGCCAGAAGTGACCAGAATTAGTCAAATACTTTTCTATGAAAGTGTTTTCAATGAGACTAACGTTTAAATAAGTAGACTAAGTAAAGCACATTGCCTTCCTAATACAGATGTCCACCTTCCAGTTTTAAGACTTGAATAGAACAAATAGATTAAATAGGAGAGAAATTTGGTGGTTTTATTGATTGATCTGGCACATGTTTTTTTTTTTTTTTTTTTTTTTTCCTACTCTCAGACTGAAATTTACAACACTGGCTTTCCTGATTCTCAGGTCTTCAGAGTCACACTGAGCTTATATCGTTGACTCTCTTGCATCTCCAGCTTGCCAACTGCAGACTTGGGATTTCTTAGCCTCCATAGTTGTGAGCCAATTCCTTGTAACACAAACACACACACACACACACACACACACAGTCTTTGATTTATGATGAATTGAATTATCTTTTTAACTTCACAATGGTGCAAAAACAATACATATTCAGTAGAAACTGTACTTTGAATTCTGAGCTTTGAAATTTTCCTGGACTATCAATATGTGATATGATAGTCTGTCATGATGCTGGGCAGTCACAGCAAGCCTCAGCTCCCAGTCAGCCACAGGATCACCAGGGTTAACCACCAATACTCTACATTGTGCTATGTTGCTCAGAGGATGTTCAGTAGGCTAGGTGTATTAAATGCACTTTCAACTTATAATATTTCAATTTAAAATAAGTTTATCATCATGCAACCTTATCATAAATCCAGGGTTATGGCACTCCTTCCTATAGGTTATGGTTCTCTGGAGAACCATGACTAGCATGA